GGAGCCCGATGCGGGACTCGATCCCAGGACTCCAGGATCATGACCTGAGCCGAAGGCAGTCGCTTAACCAACGGAGCCACCCAGGCGCCCTCTTCAGTACTTTTTAAAAGAAATGACTAGTTATATGGGAAAAAAAACAAACAATTTTAAAGGAAATCAACCCAAATATAAAGAAGTAAATATCAAGCTGTTACCTGTCTTAGCTTTTGAAAGGAGAGAGCAGTTGTAATATGTAAAAACTATCAGATTAATCTCCTTCTCAGACTTCTGTGAATTACCTGAGAATTCTAACAAAAATCATTGTACTTTCTAACCATGGAGGATCAAGAAAAATTTCTTTTATTTATCCCACATTTCAGGTTTTCTTTTTTTTTCTGGTTGGAAAATAGAGTGTCCTTGATATGGAAAATAGAGTGTCCTGCCCCCCACCCCCTTCACCCTAACAGATGTACTAAATTTCCTACTGTATTGTATGCTTAATTTATCCGATTATTTCCATTGACTGTGAAAGGTATGGGAATGTGAAAGATCTATTTGAGTTAGAAGTATCTGATTGACTTCTTTTGAAAAATTTTTTTAAGGGAGAAGAAATCAATGCTGGAAGGATTGGGCTAACATTGGTAGTAGCTGGAATGGTAGGCTCTATTCTTTGTGGCTTGTGGCTAGATCATACCAAAACATACAAGTAAGTGGTAGTAGATAAACGTATGGTGTACAACCCAGGGTATTCTGGGTTTAATGGAAACTTTGCTTTTTAATTTGAGAAATTTAAAGAGTGTTATTATTACTAAAAGACTTGGATTCTAGACATTTGTAGATTCCCTTCACTTCTGAATGAAGTCTATATATTGTCTTATTTTATCGGACATCCTTATTTCGACTTTGGGAATTTGGATACCTTACGAAGCTTCTTCCCCTCTAATAATAACCATGCACACATCTATCTTTAGAAGGGCTCATTGCTATTCTACAAAAGCCCTTTCTGAGAAATATTTGACTTCTGGCAGAGACTTTATCCTGTTCTTTTCTCATGTTGTAAGCTTAAAAACAAAAAATTTTGTCTCTCCTACCAAAAAATTGTTATCGAGCATAAGGCATTTTTGGTAAGAAGTTTTAGTGTAGGAGTGCCTGGCTGGCTCTGTTGGAGCATGCGACTCCTGATCTCAGGGTCATGAGCTTGAGCCCCATGTCAGATGTAGAGTTTACTTAAAAAAATAATAAAATAAATAAATAAATCAAACCTTGAAGAAAAAGTCTTTAAAAGCCTTTGCCTAAAGTGCTCCACACTGTAGCACCACTTAACTATAATATAATACATAATATGAAAATACTGTATTATTCATACATTTATATAATCAAAATGCTAATACAAAAGAAGAACTTAGGAATACCAACTGGGAAACTGAAAAGGGGTCTCAGGGGCAGCATCTTTTGCACTGAGCCTTAAAAGAATAGCTATTTATATATACATTTATGATGTATGATTTCATTTATCTAAAGCACATTTGTTAGAAGTCAAGATAGTGGTTACTCTTGGAGGCAGGGAAGCAGTGACTGGGGGGACCTTCTGGGGGTTGGTAGTGCTTTTTTCTTTGGTTTTGTTTTTTGTTATTTTTTTTTTAATTTGAAGTATAGTTGACATACAATATTATATTAGTTGCAGGTGTGCAGCATAGTGATTCAACAACTCTATAGTTACTCTGTGCTCATCAAGATAAGTGTGCTCTTTATCTCCGTCACCTATTTCACCCATCCCCCCACCCACCTCCCCCTGGTAGCCATCAGTTTGTTCTCTATAGTGAAGAGTCTGTTTCTTGGTATTCTCTCTCTTTTTTCCCTTTGTTTGTTTGTTTTGTTTCTTAAAGTCCACATATGAGTGAAATCATGGTATTTGTCTTTCCCTGACTGACTTATTTCGTATAGGTAGATCTCTTCTCTAGATCCATCCCTAGTGTTGCAAATGGCAAGATTTCATTTTTATGGCTGAATAAGATTCCATTATATATTTATACACCACATCTTCTTTATCCATTCATTATCGGTGGACACCTGGGCTGCTTCCATAGTTTGGCTATCATAAATAATGCTGCAAGAAACATAGGGGAATGATTATTTTCATTACTCAGTGCCCCCCACAGTAAGTGTAGCTGCCGTCTGTCACCATACAAAGGGATTATAATATTATTGACTATATTCCCTATGCTGTGCTTTTCATCCCCATGACTTACTTATTTTATAACTGGAGGTTTGTATCGCTTCCGGTCTTGAAGGAGTGGCCTTATGTATGAACGTCCCCCGTGTAGACTCTGTGCCTGGCTACTTAGGCTCATCAGCTGGAGCTGGATTTGGTCCAGGCCAGAGGTCGTGGGGTGCTCCATGCCGGAGGCCACCCTGGTGGGAGGGCTGGACTGGAGCACATTTGGGCCAGGTGGTCCCAGGGGCTTCATGCCAGGTCCACATTGGCAGAATAGCTGCACCTGGGGCAGGCGTGAGCCGGGGGGCCCTGGGGCATTCGTAGGCACTCTGTGCCCTGGCTGCCGTGCAGGGTGGCTGGAGCTAGAGTGAGTGCTAGTGGGGGTGCTCTGCACCTTGACCTGGAGCAGATGCAGTCTGGGAGGGCTCCCCTTGCAGGACAGATGGAGCTAGTGTGGGCTAGTGGACTCTGTTCCCGTCTCTCAAGGGGGAAGAGCAATGTAAACAGTGGCTGTTACCAGGATCTCCAACTCCAAAGTGAGTCCCAGCAATTTCCCCACTGTTCGGCAGACACTCTAGGGCTAGTAAATGGATTTCCTTCACTCATAGTCTAGTTGCCCCTTAAACCACTGTTGTTTTGTTTTTGTTTTTAGCTGTGCCCCCAGGGCAGGTGAATCTGCACGGCACAGCCCAGTGATATCTCTCCCGACTGCAGGTCACTGGGTCTATGGTGGGGTTCCTACTGTCACCCTGTCTCTGTCTCTCCTGCTGTTCTCTGTGTGGTCCCTCTACCCTTTATCATGCAGGAGCTGTTCAGTCAGTCTTCAGTTCTTCTTCAGGAGGAATTGCTTTCTGTGTAGATTCTATGTGTCTGTGGGAGGACATGCATTCAAGGTCTTCCTAGGCTGCCATCTTGGGCCTCTAAGCCAAGAATAGCTACGTTTTTTGTTTTTTTTTTTTTAAAGATTTTATTTATTTATTCATGAGAGACAGAGACAGAGAGAGAGAGGCAGAGGGAGACGCAGGCTCCCAAGGAGCAGGAAGCCCGATGCGGGACTCGATCCCAGGACCCTGAGATCATGACCTGAGCCGAAGGCAGACGCTTAACCATCTGAGCCACCCAGGCGCCCGAATAGCTACGTTTTTTAACAGGCAGAATCTTCCTATCTCCTTGGGAGAAATGAATGAATGGAACTATGAATAAGTGAATGGAATGAAATAAAATGAATGAATGAATGAAATATGGAACTGTCACCTATGTATCCTGTGTACCTGTCAGGGCCCAAGATATGTTTGATATCATTATGTTAGCCCTTCCAAAGACTCTCATGTTGAAATTCTCCAAGATAGCTCTCCTATAATTTAATACAACACTTGCTGTGGTTTCATTATTGTGAAATGGTAGCTTACAGTGAAACCCATTCAATCTGTAGATAAAGGGAACATATGTAAAGGATTAAAGTTATTACTAGCCTTTGATCCACTTTAGAATTAGAAAACTTGATAGGCATAGGAATGCCTTCTTTGTTGTCCTGATTTTATTCTCAGAGTAATTGCCATTCATTCACCAAACCTGTGTTGTGGCCATAGTTCAGCTAGGGATTGTGACAAGCAATATAGGGTCCCTGTCCTTGAGACATTTGTGGTCTAAGTGGGGAAAATAAAGCATTCATATATGAGAAATAATAATATAACAGACTAAAATAGATGTCATACGCCCAAGAGATGTCTGTCATGTGACAGTTATTTAGATTCTGAGATGATAAGGGAATTTGGAGGAAGAGACAATGTTGTAAGCTGCAGTGGTTAGGAAAGGCATTTTGGAAGAGGTAGAACTTGAACTCAGTCTTGAGATACAGTGAGGGAACTATCCCACTTGGTGGAACAGAAACGATTTGATCCATATGAATATTCCTTCCTGTCTGAACATTGGATAGGGTGTGAGTTTTGTCGGTTGCTGCTGTTGAAGCTTAAATGTAAGCTTTAAAGTCCATGCTTTGGTGGAAACATTTTCCATACAAGAGAAACCCAATCTTGAAAACCAAGGCATTTATTACCATATGGACAGACCAATGGTTAGCGACGTGATTTTTATATACCTAGGAAAATCAGGCAAAATACTAACAATTTTGTTTTTGTTTTAGACAGACTACTCTGATAGTTTACATTTTGTCTTTTTTGGGAATGGTTGTATTTACTGTCACGTTGGACCTTGGACACATTGCCGTCGTGTTCGTTACTGGAGGGGTACTTGGGTAAGCATTGGGTGTGTAGGAGGAATGGATAGTACGCTGTTACAATTCTGAAGTATTACTACTGTGGTTGTACATTTTTAGTTCATTCAAATGTCCTGTAATATTTTAAACTTTAAAGAATCTATCCTGTGTACGTAAATGCGTAATTCTTTAGAAATTAAAAAGAAGTAGTTTAAAATTGTTTTTTTTTTTTTTTGGTATATGTGATAAGTGAAAAATGGATAAGCCTTCCTTAGTCCAGGTAACTTTATTTAGCTAGAAAAACAACTGACTTCGCAAACTAGAGGTAAATTTTTCTCAGAAAAAGAAAACCTTAGAAACTGCTTTACTTCTCAGTTCTTCTGTCCTTGGGCTGATTGGTGAATAATAATAGGGTCTTACGTTAAGTTCAGAATACTCCGTTATCTGATCACTAGAATAGTCCTGAGAAGTAGAATGATTGCCTCAGTATGTGATATTGTCCCTCAGTTCATTGTATCTATAATTCTGGATTTATTTTCCTAGTTTCTTCATGACCGGTTACCTCCCATTGGGTTTTGAATTTGCTGTTGAAATCACTTACCCAGAATCTGAAGGTACTTCCTCTGGTCTTCTTAATGCCTCAGCACAGGTAAACCTCTGACGTCTCTCAAATCTGAGATGACTAGTTTGCTGACTGTTCTAGCGGGTAACAAGTTTAAAAATCGTTCTTGTTTGACAAATTCTACCTTGCAATGTTTCTAGAAGCTAAATCATATGAATGAAATAGTTAGGAAAAGTTCTGGGGAAAACATTGCACTGATTTCAAAGAAGCAAATTTAACAATTATTTCTCTTGTTTTAGATATTTGGAATTTTGTTCACATTGGCTCAAGGAAAGCTCACGTCAGCCTATGGTCCTAGGGCAGGGAATGTTTTCCTCTGTATTTGGATGTTTCTAGGCATCATTTTAACAGGTAAGTTAGGGCATTTTCCTGGCAAAATTACTTATGTCATATTGTCTTTATATTTAATTTTCATGTCCGGTGATTCTCAATGGCTTGGCAGAATTCAAGGGGAAAAAAGAGATAAAAAGCAGGATATTACTTGTCTTTTTCCAAGGATATGAATCTATTCGTTCATTTTTCAGATTTTAACTTCAATACTGCTGTCACTGTGCAGAGAAAACAAAACCATTGTATTAAGAGTCAGTAAAGACTCTGGAGTGGACAGACCTGCTTCTCACTGGCTGTGTGACTTTAGCCAAGTTACTTCACCTCTCAAATCCTCCTTTTTTCACTCATATAACAAGGTATCAAAAAGTCTGCCCTACAGGGCTGCTACACGGATGAACTGAGGTGGTTCATGAAAAGCTCCCAGCATGTGTCTGGCACCTAGAACGTGCCTAATCACGTCAGCAATTATGATAGTGTGTGGTCATGGAAATAGCACATGGAATGATTAGCCAGTTCTTACCCTTGTTAGGGATAATCAGAATAGACACGGGCAGGAACGGGAGTAGAACCCAACCTGCCCGACCGCCAGAGAAAGAGCACAGAAAAGGGCTTTTATTTGTGTTTGTCTGGGCGCATGAATGTAAAAATGGATTTAGAAGCAAAGCTTAATGTCCAGCAGTGTTTCTGCACCCACGTTGCTTCTCCTGTTAGCTCCCTTGGCTGATTTCTTTCTGCATTCCTTTTCCCTATTCAGATGGCAGTGTAAACTCTTTTTATACAATGTACCTACCAACCAAGCCACATATCCTGCCTCCTCCCCTTGTACTTGATGCTCCAGTGATCCCAGATACCTCCGGTGCCACATTCTTGGCTCTTCTACTCCTGTCTCACATTCTTTGCATATACCATTTCCCGCCTGCCCAGAATGCCTTCCTCTCTCTTCTTATCGCTTGACATGTTCCTACTCATTTTCCAAGTTTCGATTCAAATGTGTCTCCTCTGGCAAACCTTCCGTGATTGTGTCTGGACTGACAGAGGCATTTTTCCCCCCAGGCTCCCACTACACCTTCTACATAACCTACGGGGTTGGGGCGCCTGGGTGGCTCAGTTGGTTAAGCGACTGCCTTTGGCTCAGGTCATGATCCTGGAGTCCCGGGATCGAGTCCCG